AGTATATATCATCTCTGCGATAATATGAAGTCTCTAGTAGTTAATACGTCAATGGCTATGTCTAGCAATTTGTGTGCATATGTAGAGTAAGCATTGTTCAATCAACATTCAGATAAGTATTACATGCATATAAGAAATCGAACATGGGTAGCACAGAGGTAACGTCGGTCCCAAAAAAGTCGAGCGAGAATAATGATATTGCCGATGTTTACGGGCCAAACTTAAAAATCCTTCCGTGCAATAATCAGGTGAAGGAGCTGCAAACTATATTACGGGACAAGTAAGTAAACCGACGGCGACAGTTATTCGTGTATCGACGTATATAAGTATTTTTTTTTTAGCAATAAGATGCCGGCATCATGCCGGCATATTGTGTCATTTGTCTGCAATTAAACAATTTAATGGACACGATGCATATCCATTTACAGAAACACCACGAGGAGCGATTTCAAGTTCTATGCAGACCGCCTGGTGAGATTTATTTTTTTTTATTTTAGTTATAAACTTCGAGGCATTGTCACATGCTTTCGAAGCGATATTTATTCGTTCGAGGCATTTGTGATCTGAGGCACATGCATTGTGAATAAAACACACGTTTATTAACGAGCAGAAATTCCATGATGTTAGCTCTATCTTAGCAAGTAAATCATTTCATCGATCATAGCCATTCTTTCACATTGCCTTATATTTCCATATTTTAGTCAAAACACTCGAAATATATGTTATTTTTATTTGTTTACTTAATTAATTTATCTCTTGTTCGTTTTAAATATTAATTCATTTTCTTTACATTTATTATTTAACATCTTTTCCTGAAGTTTCATTACAAGTATAATGTAAAATTGTACCAAAGCAATATTTTTATGTTGATATTTTATGATTTAAGCATTTATAATAAAACTGACAAATCACATGATAAATTAAATGTTTCTAGATAAGACTAGTTATAGAAGAAAGTTTAAACCAATTACCTTTTTCCAAATGTGTGGTAACTACACCAACTGGTGCCAAATATAATGGTTTGAAGTATCAAAAAGGAAATTGTGGGGTCTCTATAGTAAGAAGTGGAGAAGCCATGGAACAGGTATAGCAAGTTTTAGTAGCAATTGAGAGAAATCATATTAAATAATGGGTTTTTAGGGTTTAAGAGACTGTTGTCGTAGCATAAGGATTGGAAAAATATTAGTTGAAAGTGATGCAGACACACATGAAGCCAAAGTAGTTTATGCAAAGTTTCCAGATGACATATCTGAAAGAAAAGTTTTACTTATGTATCCAATAATGAGTAAGTATAACAGCTTTAAATATATCATTTAAACTTTTATATATACTATATCGTATATTATATATACTATATTGTAAGATCAATGATTTATTTTAAATGAAAGGTACTGGGAATACTGTGATAAAAGCAATTGCTGTCCTAAAAGAGCACAATGTACTTGAAGAGAATATCATTTTATCAAATTTATTTTGTACACCAATTGCAGCCAAGTCTCTAGTCACTGCCTTTCCTCAGGTATGTATTTGCTTTCTTGAATGTAATAGTATATTATAATATATTGTCTTCACAGATTATAAAATTACTCCTTCAAATTTTTAATTTTCTTTAAATTTCTTATCAATACCAAAAAATGGATCAGTTGTTAATTACAAAATTTGTTTCATTGAATTCGATAGCAAATTAAAACATTAATATTTTGTTAGTTTTTAAAGATAATAAATTATTCTTTAAGTATTAATTTAATGTATTTATTTATTTAATGTATTAAGTATTTATTTAATATATTAATTATTTTTAAATTAGAAATTTGTTTTAATTGTTTAAATGAAACTGAATTGTCTTTTTACAGATGAAGATTTTAACATCAGAGATTCATAGCATTGCCCCAAATCATTTTGGACAAAAATATTTTGGTACGGATTAATTACATTTTATTAGCATCATATATCATAAGCTAGTACTTACAATAGATAAATGAACTGATAGAAAATCAAATGCAGAAGGTAACATATTTGTTTAGAGCATAATACAGTTTATAAAATGAAATGCTACAGCAAAGAAGAATTGATATAATGATATTCTGTTTCTAGCATTGCCATTGCTAACTTCTATAAATTATTTTTGATTTAGTATGAGGGAAGTAATCTGAATTCAACACTGTGATTAGTTGTGTAATCATAATACAATCATAAGAAATTTATAGTTAAATTATCTAGTTCACATTTTCTTAATTTTTTATTAAAATATTTGTACATAAGGAAAATGTGAAAATTCATTAATCATGTTTAAAACATAATTTTTAGTACAAATACGAAAATACGTATAATTGTCAAAAATTGCACAAGCATAATTTTGCATAATATTTAATTATTGCAATAAGATTATAAAAAGAACAGTTATATGCTTCAGTTTCATTATTTTCATTCAGTATTAATATTTTTTATTATGTTTAAATTACACATATAAAAATTTGGAATAAGAATTAATACAAGTTACATATGGAAAGGAAAAATATTGAGAATTTGTGTAGTTTTATCAATACTGTATTATGTCATTATCTAAAGTTTCATAAAAGCATTTATCTTTGTAAGTTTTACAAACTTATTTTTATAATATTACAGAATGCATAAAAATAGATTTTAATGGTTGTGGTATTTTAGAAATATTTTTAACATATGCTTTTCAATTTGCGAATTACTGTTAATATCCATGATTTTCAAATAATGAAAAAATAATAAAAGAAAGCTTTATATTTATTTTTCAATTAATTCCTGAGTGAATATGTAAATATAAATGTATTGTTTGATTATATAAATATGTACGTATATGTATTATTTTCATGCACTCAAAGTACTTTAAAAACTATTTAAGAGATTATATAAGCCTTCTGTAGATTGATTTTCTACTCTTAATGTATAACTGTAAGTAATATATTTTATTATTATTTAACTAAAGTAAATCAATCATTCATAAATTGATTGATTTTTCGGCATAATATTGCAATTACTACCTTTTTTCTATTTTTTGCAATGTGTACTGTGAAATATGAATTTCAACAAAACTAGTATTCCTGTAGTACAATATACCTTATTTATTGCGAAAAATGTAATAATGAATATCAGTAAAAGAAATGATTGTTACAATTTTAATAGCAACAAAAACGTTAAATTTTAAATATTCGTTTGGTTTTATATTTTATTTCTGCTAAAATATATATTTGATGTGACTTTTATAAATTTCTACAAACAAAACAAAATTTTGTTATAAACCTATTTAAATATTATTTAAAAGAATATTAATTTTTTTTAAATTTTTTCATGTTGCTATAAATAGTAACTTAAAGTTTTTTTAAATATAACATTAATTTATAATACTAATTATAAGGATAAAAATGTTATATATAAAACAATGATTTGACAATTTTCAGTAGTTTCATACAGTTGTGACAAAAGAATATAAAATAATGCTGAATACTAAGCACAATTTTTACTTAATGATTATAAATACAATTTGCATAATTTAGCATTCATATTATAGGTACAGATTAAGATAAATTTTTCGTTAAAACATTTATATAGTCAATAAATAAAAAAAATGATCGAAATACTTTGTTTTTAAGTACACGTCTTGAGGTGAATTTAATTAGTATTGAGAAATGTATTTAATTAATATTATTTAGCACTATTAAGGAATAATTTGCTTATTTTGAAAACAGAATGCAATGTTGGAGCAATTTATTGGAATTTAAACATTTTGTTCTTCAATTTATATGTAAATCATATTGTTTATTGAGATAGATGTATAATTTATTGTAAACACACGGATCATTATAATGAATTAATAACGTGAAAATATTTAATATCTGCATAACGAAATATCATACTTTACATCAACAATATGTGTGGCATTAGTAATCATCGTATTTCAATTTTATCTTAATTCTCATTATATTATCAATTGTTGAGTCTAATTCTGTTTTAATGCATACTAATAATGTGTGAATAAGTACAAATATTAACATAATATTCAACATAGAATTAAACATTAGTTTTTAAAGATATACATCGAAATGATGTATGACAGTGTTACATACCGATACTAATATACATGATTTCATTTTTTACAAATAGTTACATATACAAAACTAAAATCATTTGTTACAAAGTGGAAAATCATTTTTATAGTTATTGTGTGTTATTAAACTACATATACAAATTTTCAAACTATGAAAAATGTTAAAACATGAAAATTTATAAAGCTTATTACTACTTATCAGATTTTTTATGTAACTGTCGAATGGTATCTAGAATTGATGATGCAGCTTTTACATGTAATAATTTTCTTTTTTTTTTTTTAAGTATAATTGTATGTTATGTTTTATATTATTTCTTTATTGATTTTCTCATTATTTTTTCTTGCTCCTTTTCTTTTTCTTTTTTATTATAAAACAAGGTTTAAACTATGAAGTCCTTCAAAAAACAATTTACCTTGCAATGTGCCTATAAAAAGAGCTGCATTACAGTATCTAGAACTGTGATTTCCAGAACCATATGTGCATTATATTATATCATTTGAGTGTACACAGATGTCTGTTATTACGAACAATACTTGTACACTTGTTATATTGTAAGTTACCACAGAGTAATTTTCAACATTTAATAGTAGTACATATTTGCATTCGCAATAAATTTATATTAGTGAGAATATTGTATAATATGTATATCTTGAGAAGTATGAATAAAATTTCACAGCAAGTACTACTTACCTAACACACGCAATTTAAAATAAATAGAACTTTACAAAAACGAAACGTGATTTATTTTATTATTCGTTTGTAAATATAAAGATGCATTATTTCTTTATTATTATTTTAGAAACAGACATAGAAAATATTTACATACATTATTGTTAATGTTTAGGTACATTGTCTTTTATTTCAAACAAAATTATATCTTTCTATAGTAAAAATTATTCTAAATATGTTTAATATTTAAGTTATTCTAAATATGTTAAATATTTAAGATTTGATTTTGTTGAAAAATTGTAATCTCGTTTAAGTATTATTATTTTTCACAGATTTTTTAATAATTTGCGTATAAAGTTTTATTAATTGTAGACAATTATTTCGTCGATAATCTACATAAATACTTCAAAAACACGTTGACAATTATTGTTTTCAGGATGTTCTCGTTTCATCGTAGGGGAGACTACAAACATACAAGGAAAAGATATTTGAAGAATTTGTGTACAAACACATACTCACGTTATGCAGATGTTAGTTTAATTTCATTTTTTAACAAATGACAATTTTTTTCAAATGACAATAACTATTTGAAAACTAAATATATTTTTAAGTATATTTCTATAGTTAATTTATTATTAAAAAATAGCTAATTTATATATCAAATTCGAATGATCTTTAATGTGATAATCAAAGATACTTGGTATTGTAAATGTTTTATTTTTATATTTATTGACGTTAATGCTAGTCGTTTATTCACTGTTAATATAAAAAACAAATTTACCTTTTAAAATTGAAGTGATAATATATATGTATGTATACAAGAATATTAATGCAATAAGTATGTTTTGTATAAGAAATGGATGTATAAGATTATAAAATGTATTAATTTGTTATTTATTAAAGAAAGAAACATAAGATTGTATAAACTAAAAGTAATTTACTTACCAAAAACCATTCGTGGAGTGTATAAATTTAATTAGACGCCTGTAAGTGTTAATGTTAGTAACAGATGTATAAAATATGTGATAAACTGATACAGATGACAAAACTGTATAGAATTATTACACAAATTTTTAAATTTCTCTATCATGATATTTATTAGTAAATTTTTATATGTATGTAACAATGATTGGCATGACTTATATATATTATGTATAATGAATATTGATCTTGTAAATATATATTTCCAATACATAATGTTAAAATTTATTCAGTGCGATGTTCATGTCCAATACCTATTTCTCGTGAATATATCATTCTCTAATAAGAATGAGGTGGACATCTCAATTCTCATGTGTAAAGCTTTTTTAATTTCTTTTTTTCTCTCAATCTGATTTTAATAGCATATATTTAATATTCAAAAGCTGCGATATGCTGTATTAAAATTAGTCAGGCTTTTTATCTCATGCATAAATATAGAGTAATGAACTTGATACTTCATATTTTCTGCCATTTTAACAATAAAAGTTCATAACAATTGCGTAAAGCTTTGAATTTGTTCGTGATTAATACCCGTCTATTATCTGACCAATAAATGAGTATATCGCAAGACAAACTATTAAATTATAATAATTAAATATATGTAACTGATATCAATTTTTTATGGAAAGAGTCGTAAATAGGCCTTCGACAAAACTTCGTATTTCACTTATTTATCTCATTAAATATTTTCAGCTGAGGAAAATAAATCATATAGCTATAAGTTACTCTATTCCTTCAATTTTCAATTATAGAATATACGAATTAGATTATAAATATAATTATAACAAATTAAACAAATCTGTTAGATATATCACCTGGAATTAAAAAATTTGTCCTACATTAAGCCTAATGTTTTTTTAGAAGTATATGACCATAAAGAATCGTTAGTGCGTACGATATTGGTATAACTTATTATAACTAATTTTGTGTCGTCTTTTATAAGAATTGCATTTTATATGAAACTGAGTGTTGTACTGTCTGAACTTATTACGCAATAAAAAACTATACTCTTAGAAATCTCGTATAAAACCAAACAGATGATCAATACAATTTAAGATTAAATCATAAATGAAAGTTGTTCTTCAATACAAATAGTAAATCTACAATTTATAGCTTGGACCACTGATAAATATACAAGGACACTTAAAAACAATTTAATTTAATGTAATTATAAAACGATGATTACATGAAAAATTTGAAACAAAAATAAATTTCAAAGCAGGATATATCTATCTAAAATTCATTGTTGTAGTTTTAGCAAGTAACGAGACAAACAAGCATTTTCAATACTGAAAATTTATTACTCCTAGCACATTATTAGAGCTTTGTTTAAAAATAAAGGATAAAATACAATATAAATAATGTAAAATATCAGCATAAGAAATTAAAAAATTTATTATCTACTGATATGAAAAAGGGTAAAATTCATTATCTTCTAGTCAGACCTATCAAAAATCTGATGGTGAAAACAGGCTTAATTTCAAATATAAAATATTTCTATAAAAGTATCGCTTATGCCTCATTTATACTGTTCAATATACTCTCTGCAGGAAGCAGAAATATTATTTTGGCAGTACCTTCACTCAGCCTTAGAAATGTGATAAATATAACTTTTATAAAATACCCTTATCGATGGAAAACCAAGGATGTCAAGAAATATTAAATATCCCACAATCGTATGGGTTTATTTCGTATCTACTCTTCTTTCTCTTGATCATCAGATTTTTCTTCATTTTTTTCTACAGTTTCTCCTGTATGTTCGGTAGTTTCTTCTTCTTCAGGTTTTGTTTCACCATCATTTTCTATAGATTTAGGTTCATCTGACTGTACATTTTCACTTGGTAAAGCTGTCCTTTCTTCAACACTAAGATAACAAAGAAAAGATTCAATTAAAGTATCTACAATGAGACAAATTTTTATTTTTAAAACAATTTGTTAGGCAGGAATAAAAACAAATATTTTCAGTTAAGTATAGCTATAGTTATAGCGATTATCCAATTTAAATGATTGATCACAGAATTATGCAATCAATATATCTATAGTGCTTACCTTTCTGCCTGTACTGTAGCTGTTTCTTTGTCTGTGGAGGGCTAAAATAAACATGTAGTAGTTAGTGTGGACAAATTTAGTGCCAAGGACAAAACACCGGAAAATAAACATAACCGAGATGATTACAAATCAAGTTCTTAAGTAATGTTATAAAGACATAAATTAAATGACACGAATGGATACATTTATCATTTCCCTTACAATTATCAGACAGGATTTAATTACTAACAACATTTACCTCCCGACTTGTGGTATTTCCATTCTCTTGAATTTCCTTAGTTTGATTCAAGTCAGGAATATTTTCCTTTACATTAGCAGCTGGCGCCACTTTTAAAAATTCTTCCAATTCATCTATTTCGTTTGCCAGATCAAAATCTTCATAATCCTGTAGAATGATTCATTATAAGCGTTTACAGCTCAAGCATGACATTTAGAGGATTTAATTGAAATTCTAAATTTTATATAAACTGTTAGCAACATCTGAAGTTACATTTTCTTAGTTTTTTTTTTTTAATCGCGATTGAAATTATAGATGTCAGGATTGATGCAACAACATTTACCCCACAATATTCATCTTCATTAAATATTTGTGGAGGTAATGGATATTTACTATCATCTCTCGCAATACCATTCATTTGCATAAACTCCTTTTCCATTTCCTTTCCTGGTTCTGTTATATCTATTGTCTCGTACTCTACATTTTTGCTATCCAATATCATCAACACCCGTTGTTGCCTTTTTTTCACCTAAAACAGTTCAATCAGACATAAAGTTTGCATGTCTTGTTTGCAGTTTAAACCTAATACATTATTGACAAGTAAATTACGAATGTTTATGTAAATTCTTGCAAACATAGATAAGAAAATGAAGCTTAAATAGAAATTTGTTTCACATTGCTAAATATTGCTTGAATATTTTCTATATTTTCAGATTATTCATTAAGCAACGCGTGCATTTTCACGTGTTTGAGTTTCTCATAAATACGTAAACACTCGTAGTTCATTATCACACAAAGACCAAATTTCGAAAGCCGATAATGAAATTTAAACTGTTTCACACTCTGGTGTAACGAAGTAACCTATCGATTCGAACGAAACATAATGCCGTTATGATGTTATCAGTAATTATTATCAAAACCTAATGGTGTTCGAAATGGTGTTAAAAAATACGTATATAAATCGAACACGTAAAAATTGAGGAAAAAAAAAGTTAATTAAGAGCGCACGATATCGGTGTTACGAGTTTTCGTTGAAAAATATGAACACTAGAATCATCGTTCAGCCAAGTTAAAAATTCATATCCGAAAAATTTAAGTATAAATAACATAAGTTAAACAATAAATTGAAATAAGTAAGTATAAACATAACAAGAAATTGAAATAATAAATATACAAACGAGAAAGTTTATTTTGCGTCATTGTAAGTCTAAAGAATTTCAACGAGCAATTACTATTTTAGCTATTTTAACCACTTTGATAATCCGAGTGTTAATCAAAAGATTACCAAAACCAACAATCATGTTGCAAGAACACATAATCCTCGGTGTTCTGTACGTCTCTCTGTCATGTGTGTACATTTCACGCTCTGGTTCACGCGAAATTACAAAGTACACTCGAAACCCTCCCTTGTTTTGCTAAACTGAACCAAACATACGCACGAGTTCGTTTAATGCAAAAATGCCCTCAACGCATTTCGTTGGACGCATATGCATATGCACGCACGCATGAATCATTTCGATCGATAACACCGTGTGGTGTGTGTCACGTCCGATAAGAATCTCCGCTCGATGACACTGTCGATCATTAATCGACAGCCTCGACCATGAAGCTTCCCCGTTGTAATTCGATCCGAACGTTGACGTGAAAATATCGAACAAGATTCAGGTGCCCGGTAAATCTGGCATTCTCCTCGAATCGCACGCGCATACATGCAGAGCGGGTCCACGAACGCAACACGCACACACCCTCTCTCTTTTTCTCGGGGATAAAATATATCTTTATGTTCTCCTTGCAGCCACGTTCTTTTTCCACTCACTTCTTTGTTGCCGCTAATGCCTGATATGTAGATTTTAACGACCATTGTTAGCCGGGTGCTCTTGTTACCAATTGACACTTTCTGTACTGCTGGCTGGCTGGCTGCTGCTTCTCGATTGGTGTGCCACGGCTAGCGGTTTCGCGGAGTGATAAGCGATCAGTGAATCACTATAGGTTGATCGTTGGTCCGCGGATCGCCGACGCTGAGCAACACTGATTTAACACGCACGGGCCTGGCTGGTCTGGGATCCACTGGCTACGTCATTTCAGGCCGGTTTCCGAGCGTTCTCATGCGCGTACCCACGCACGACGAATCCTTTTTCACCCGCAACCGCGATTCTTGCCGCGATCCTTACGCCGATGTGTACAGTTCGTCGTGTAACGGGGCATTGCAGTATCGGGGTCAACTGTGCTGCTGTCCGTCCGTGAAAGTTTTTTTCATTACGCGTGAAATCGCACATCCGTGTCGTCGTGCACACATGTTCTCGCACTGGATGATCTTTCACTCAAATATGGTTTTCGATGAACATGAATATTTCTTGGAGAGGGTGGAAACAATCATCGTAACTTGCGCGGAAGTTTAGAAGTTTGCATCGCGAATATTTATTTAGAAGTTCACGAATGTGCGAGAACGCGTTCATTTTCTGTGACGCGCGATTTGAATTCGCGCCACTCGCGGCATGCTAGCGCGCTGCGACGGTGATTGCGGCGCGCAATGAGTATCGGGCTTTAAGGGCTTTTCCCTTTTCCGGTTCCTTTCGAACGTACCCTGTATTTGTGCAAAATGGTAAGGATCATTATTCAGAAATATTTTGTGAATCCCGTTGAAATATTGGTGAAATTGATTGCATCGTATTAAAAAAAGTCACCGACAAAGTGTTTATATATATATATATATATATATATATTTTGTTATTTGTTTATTAGATAAGTTTCGTAGAAATGGTGACTTGAGGTTATGTTTGTATTTACAGTTGAATCAGTTGTTTTATTGTCGAATCGCAGGAGATTTTTAATTACGATGAAGTAGAAACGAAATAATGCGATGCATTTAATTGGTTTTGTAATAAAAATTTGTTGGAAAGATTAAAATAAATATTGTAAAGACAATTACGCTTAGCTAACCTATTTCTGTCAAGCAAGTATTTCTCGTAAACATTTTCAACGATATTTGAATATCTTATCATCTCGATTATTATTGCATTTTATAAATACATTTCAGACTATTAGTGGTAAGAATGTTTAATTTATGAAATACCTTCATATCTATTCATTAGGCGAAACGTACGAAGAAGGTTGGAATCACTGGTAAATATGGTACCCGATATGGTGCCTCCCTCAGGAAGATGGTCAAAAAGATGGAAATTACGCAGCATAGCAAATATACCTGCACGTTCTGTGGCAAAGTGAGAAATAAATTTTATCACTTTATTCACCAAATCAACAATGTGAAATAAATAAAGATTGTAAATCTATAAATTCTATTTTACTTTTTTGTTGCAGGATGCTATGAAACGAAGCGTTGTAGGTATCTGGTCCTGCAAACGCTGCAAAAGAACTGTTGCTGGAGGTGCATGGGTGTATTCGACAACAGCTGCTGCCTCTGTTAGATCTGCAGTGAGGAGGTTACGTGAAGTTAAAGAACAGTAATTAAATGTAATAAATAATAGTTCATAATAATATTTTGTCTGTTTTATTCTGTCCTTTGATTTTAGTACTAATTAATTATACTAGAATTTTTCTGGTAAAGGAATAACATTAAGAAACAAGAGATTATTTTCTGATAGATTTAATAGATTTGTGACAATTTAACATATGATACATAAGACTTAAATGTTTTGAAGCAATATTTAATAATATGGAGGATAAAACTTTTCTTATCATTAAAAAGAATATTTAGAAATTACTTTGGAGGCGCATCAAAATCATGATTTACTCATATTTGGTTTCATTATTCGAATAATGTATCTTGTAAATTTTTTTTTGTTTATTTAATAAGAACTTTTCATAAAAAGGGGGTATATTTTAGTGTGACTAAATTAACTAATACTTAAAGTATGGAATGTTTTAGAAAGCATATTAAATTACTAGTTACTGAAATTAAATATTATGCACATATATATTATTTAAACTTAATGAAACATACATAGAGTACTTTATTGTCTTTGAAACTATGTTCATTTTAATATTTAACTTTATTATGAATTATAGAAAAAGTAGTTTTTTTTCTCTTTACTTAAATGGTATTTATATACATATGCTTAAACATTCTTATGTAACAAAAAATTTCTTAAAAATGAATTTTATTAATTCGTGCGTCTGTGCCAATAAGTAATCTTTAATGTTCTTCAATGTAATTCTTACAATTATTTTTGTTAATATAGTTTTTATAAATAATTCTAAACATTAGCCTAAGATAAAGTAAAATAAAGATGATAAAATATGTATAAATTTACGATGCAATGGATAATTTATAAGATTAGAAATTCGTTTACAAATTATTATTGACTTTATTGTTCTTTTTCTTATATTCTGTGCATTTACTTGAATTTAACTAAATTTTATCAGTTTAAATGACTAACAAATTATCTACAAATTCTGCTAATACAATTAAGCACATACTCAAATAATATACTGATTCAATAAAAATTAACTTCTGTACAAAAATAAATACTATCGTCTTGCACGAATTAAATATGTAATTAAGCTTAAATACACGATAATTTTTTGCACCATCACCATTCTTTCATGTAACTTAAAATTGAATATATTCCTTGAAGTGTTAAAGTTCCTAAATTGAAATTTTAGTGTCATATATATTTTATATATTATAAATGTAGTTTAATGTGTTTCTTCGCATTTAAAGTTACAGAATCAGTTAATTTCTTCCCACAACTTCGAATGTAAGTATAATTATTAGTCAACATTTTTCTCAGAAACATCATTTTATTTTGTTGACTATCTTTTTCTCTCTTTTTGAAGTACGAAAGATGTTCAACCTTATGATAATGCAAGGGAAGGGCGCCAGAATCTGATAACAACATTTTTATATTAGTTACAAGAAATGTGTTTCCGTCGTGTCTTACTCGATAAGAATATTGCACTCTAAATTTTCGGCACGCTTCGAGTGTGCAGAAAATAAAAAGGGTCCGAATCTATGAAGAGTTATAACTATGTAAGATGTTAGGAATATCATAAAAATATCTAGCATTTTTTTTTTCATTAAGAAAATACGGAAGACATTTTGTCTCGAATTTAAGAAAGTATTTAAAGTATAACAATACAGTGAATAACAGTCGATAGTTTTTTTTCTTTTAATATTCTTAAACGATATCTCGTTAATCTCATATTGCTATGGCGAATTCAGATATAAGTACATTTATCTTTTTAAACGAATAAAAAGAAGATAACAACTAAATTATACGAACGAGATGCAACAAGGAACTGTTAGAAACATCAGTATAAAAAGATTCAGTGCTCTTCCCTAATTGCTAGAAAATTGTACAATACAAGTTCTAAATCATAATCGTAATCATGTCACTTGCATTCTATCATTCATTCTCTGTAATAATGCGCCATTTATACTATCAATATATTTGTGTTTCAATGCACTGATATATCTTCCAGTCATCCAGCATTGCACTCATCCCATATTATCAAATATGTCTGTTTTTTCGTATTAACAATTATTTATTTATAACAGTGATCTGATATGCTTTCCTCTCTACTGTTTACTAGAAAAAAAAGAAGAATGTTCACATACGTGTCTCTTAGTACATTCTTACTTGTGTACATTCACACACCGTTGGAAATAGGTTCTTTTTTCTTTCAACACTCTTGTGCATTATCAATCAAGGCATACCATGAAAAATGGCAGTATATACACGATACTGCTAGTAACAGTAAATAAATCCTATGTAACTAAAAAGCATCAACCTCAATCTCTCAGTTTCAAGGTGTAGTCAATTTCTTGTTTACTATCATCACTATTAATCCCGTCGACGTTTAATAAATCGACAAAACGTGATACTGAATTATTTTTACAGAGTATAATACTAGTGTTTCTTTCCTTGATTTTTTTCAATATATGGAAGTCTCTTGAATATCAGTCCTTCAATGTAGCATTTAAATAGATGAACAAGTATTACATACAAATGTTGCACTTGTAAACACCTCGTATTAGCTGGCCTGCCATTGGAATTTACTACGCATTATCCATTTTTGGCCGATATTCTGTGAATCACAAGGTGCTAATACAGGTTGCATTGCATCGTTCGAACGAGGCTTTGATAAGCAATGTCCTGTATTACTATGTTTAATCATCTTTGTCTATAAATGAATGTTATATTTTATTAATATTACCAAGTATAAATAATACATTAAATATGAGTTATATTTAAATTTGTACCTCTTCATTATAAACCCATGCTTGATTTCCACCCATACCATGACATCGTACTATTTTAACAGGACCTTGGGGACCAGCTGCATCAAGGCACATATCATCAGACATAATTTGCTGTCGTTTAGTATGAGCAAACACCTAAATGAAATTAAAAATTATATTTCAATAATACCGAAAAATTCATTATTTTAAAAAACAGTTACTGACCTGATTACCACCTAATCCATGACAATAACTAATTCCAACATTTTCACCTGTTCTCCTACCCATAGTGTCCAAACAAGTTTGTGTGTCAACATTTTGTACATCACCCAAATAGTAATAATCTAATGGCATAGGAGATTCTGGATAAATATTCTCCAAATACCATCTAAAGCTTTTACACTTAAGACGTTCCCTTAGTTTAATTCTCTCAGATACATTTCCAACAACTGCGCTTCGAGCTCCTGTAAACAGAACAATCAATTGAATAACACTGATTACTCAGTACTCGGATACTTTAGAATGCAATAGTGTGCTTGTACATATGAATGTTCGTTGAAAGGAGGGTGTGTGTCAAAAGTATGTGCCAAAATAAAGACATTGCCATGTGTTGATGCTATATGCTTGCTGGAAATATGTTGGAAATAACTGTGCTATTGTACCTCTTTCGAGATGAAGTTTAAGATAGAAGGAAACTTTCAACTGAACAAGAGTAATCTTTTATTCTCTATCACATTTTTCGTTTTCTATTACAATCCTCATTCTTGACACATAGGTATCTATTACATATAGCTTTCTTTTTTTGCTTCAAAGACAAAATGAAAAGAAACTTTTTTTATTAATTTCTTAATATTAACGGGTATCTGATATATATATATATGCGCATGTAGCTGGTATTCAACTGCACTTAAGCCTTGTAGTTATATGCAACTTATAAAAGCGTACCAATTACCCGATAGGAAAGAAGGTCATGCGAGAAGGAGTAAACTGCTCCTCGAGGAAGAAAAGAAAACATGGAAAAGATGAAGTTAGCGATATTTCACTTTCTCAGAAATGCTGGTGTTAGTGCTACCTGGATTAATGTTGTAATAGAAGTACTTCCATTGGTCCAACCAGACCTCTGCGAGTCGCGCATTGTTGTGGTTCACTATCTTGCTGGTACCACCAGGGAATGTATATGGTGTTGACTTACGGAATACATGACCGACGTGCGAGCACGTTGCGATCTCCAATGTCCCACCACACATCCATATCTAACCAACTCAGTTCTGTTAGTATGTTAGCAATTACAAATGGATAGTTTATAACAAACAAGAAACAAAAAGAGCTGATACATTAAAAGATTCAGATCAGACAGGATGCTCGCGTTCTCCTCTCTTGGTATACCTATAATATCGTTGCCTTATATAAAATGTATCAAACACAGAAGCAAGCAAACTTATTTTGTTAGTCGGCTGGATGGATGAGTGGTTAAGACTATACCAAAGTATATTTGAAATACACATAAACAAATCAATTGTATTCCTGCAAATCAAATTTCATGGCTAAATGTAACTATTCAGAATTCTCTGATACACACACACACGCGCATACACACACAAAGAAAAAAAAATATATATATATATATATATGTTCAGATGAAAAATGGTAATAAACGGTGTACACATTTATGTTAATATAAAACTTGATGGTAGATGCAAAAAGATAATTTGGTTAATATTACACTAATGAAACACACTTAAGATTAATTTTAGAATCAAATATGAACTACATATAGTTATGGGTGTTAATATTTTTTAATTATATACTAACTATATATTTACGAGATCTTTTTAACACGTTAGATACTCCAGCAAACTCCAACAAACTTTTTCTTCAAACTAAATAAAAAAGTGTGCTATAATATGTCGTTTTTACATCAATAATATTATAGCATTTGTTGTATCAGATACCCGTCAAATACGTAGATGCTCATAATCCTACGTTTTGAACTATGCGTTGAACTATACGTTCTAATGTATTTTATGTAATGCTAAGTTTACTACAATGGCGAACGTTAAACTTATATTTGCTTTCGCCTTTTCTACTTTTCTCTTTGTGGTATATTATTGTACAATTTTGTTTTGGGATTTAAAACAGTTACAAGAAAACAAATGCACACTTTTCTAAATACAACATAAAGGTGGTCACTGTACTATCGAATAACTAGCATTATTAATTGGTACTTGAAGAAAAAATGAAGAAAAAAGAAAAAAAAAAAGGAAACAAAAAATACAAATGAAATGATACACGCTGTTATCTAACCTGGGTTTATGGCATAGTAAAAATCTCTCCACTCATCCATCCAGACTTCGGCCACCCTAGCCGCATTGTGTAGAACTATTTTGCTGACACCACCAGGGAATGTATACGGACTCTTGTCTCGGAACACATGTCCAACATGTGAACATGGACTGATTTCTAACGTCCCACCGCATTGCCATACCTACAAGGTACTTATGACTTCACAAATGAAGGTGTAAATGTCCACGGCTAAACCCTTTATATTTTCGGGCCACAAATTCAAACGTATGTATCATTCGATTATTAAACAAACAAAGCTAATGTGCGTATCAAACGGGACAAAATTTTCCTTGCAAGCAGCAAATGAATATCCAATCGAATAAAGTTCGTCCGAATGAGACTTGATTTGTACAAGAATTTAATTTAGCTAGCTGATAATTTAATTTAGATAAGTCGAGTTTAATTTAATTCCTATTACGTAACATTGTAACACATTGCATAGTATAGAATATAGTTAAAATATACAATATAAATGTACATGTATGTACATCTTGTAAAGAATTAAGAATAGAATGATAAATAAAAAATTGGAATATTTTTACAATAATTATTCTAATAAATAATTATGAAATGAAAGAATATAATAATGTATAAGTTTCATCCAGATGAAAGGAATTTATTTCAGATAAAATGCCCTGGGTAGTAAATAAAAAATTGATGATTACTTTTAATACTTTAGTTCTTTAAAATCCTGATGTTAATTATTGAATAAAAATTCTACGACAGAATTGAACAAACAACTACAGATAGATAACAGAGAAGAGAAAATTTTTCATGGAGCCAACAACATTAGAACGAGCAATTAGCTGTGAAAGCAAATTATATGTATATAAAAAGAAGAATTCATACAGAAATATTCTTTTTCATTTTTTGGAAAAAAAAGAAAAAAGAAAAAA